TTGAGTTTGTTTCAAAATTATATGCTATGGTAACTTCTGAAGGTAATGGATGTCCTTCCGCAGTCAGTTGTTCTCTCACTACCGTTTGAAGCTTTGTGTTAAAAACTTTCATGTCATCTCCTGTGTCTAGGTTCACATACACAGCAACAGGAAAACTATCTTGCTTCTTTGTTTCATCATTATACCTCAAAACATTAAAGTTCTTCAATAATATTGTCTTCCTGCTGGAATACTTCGAACTGTCTGATTTCAATAGCTTTCTCACCTCCTACATACTCTACCCAGTGTCTTGGATATTCATAAGTATACTGACTTTCTTGAATTTTGGTAGGTTTCATCATAACGTGTTCATAGTATATCTTTATACTCTTGTCAGTTAGACTCGGTGCTATGTTCTGAATATTTCTGACTTGCATTTTTAATGGAGATAAAATGAAGCATTTAATACATGACGTAGATGAAGACATGAATGAAACTACAGACAAACTTAACTCTTCTCTCATTCTTCCTTTCAGTAAAGGACTATGAGTTCTGTTCAAATGGTGTTTATTTCTATTGTGGAAAGATGGGTTCAGGTAAGACATTTAATCAATTCGTCATATACTCATAACAGAGCGTTTAGGAAACGACTCTATATGACCAAATCATTATATCAGCAACTTCAGACTCTATGGACTCAACAGCGAAAACATTTATGTCAAAAGTTCAAGCCTCTGTCGTTAAAGTTCCAGACAGTGAACTCATTGAATTTCTTCAACGTTACATTCGACGTAAGAGGAAATATTATGCCATCGTTGAATTTATACAGTCAGGAATGCAAAAGACTTCTGAGAGATGGAAAGAATTATTGACAAACACCACTTACGTCAGTACTCAGGAGTTTACGATATGAAACGACTGACAAACTACATTCTATCAAAACTTTCAAAATACCCCTTCAAAAAGTATCCTTCAAACACTCTGCTCGTTTGTGACGACTTCGCCGGAAAAGGTTTAGTGTCAAAGCCTGACTCACCATTAGCTAACATCATTACTAAAGTCAGACATTACCACTTAACTGTAGCAATACTTATGCAAACATGGAGGTTTTTAGCTTTAAACATAAAACGTCTCATAACTGACTTCGTTATCTTTCAAGGTTTCTCACGTTATGATATTGAACTCATTTGGAAACAGTCAGGTATAACATTACCTTTTGAAGAAATTTGGGAAGCATATAAGTCTCTCATCTCTCCTCGTTCATACCTTGAGATTCATATCATGACTAATACCATTAAAGTCAAAAATATTCCATGGGAACGACCAACATTGTTTTAAAGTTTAACCTTCAATTGACTGATGGTAAACAAATTCCATGCATCTCTGTCGCCATTTCTGTTAATATTTTTGCTGTCATTCATATCATCCACTTCCCCATCCGTTAGCTTTTGAGGATATGCGTTAGAATAGCTGTTCTTAAATGAAGGCTTTTCACCTTTGAGAGCATAAACTCTATAACTTTCTGCATACTTTATGTTTGAACCTCCTGAGCCATCATTGACATAAATTTTTATAGGCTTCCACCCTTTGTTCATGTTCCTGCTTCTTCCCTTAGCTCTTTTGTTCAGTAGTTCTACATCTTTATACACAGCACCTGTCTCAGTGAATTCAACAATATTTTCATTCGTTAGCTTTACATTCAAACCCTTGTCGAGTATATTGTTCATTTCATACATATAAAAGGTTTTTATTCTATATGAAATGAGAAGCAAATCCATCTTAGCTGGTGCCGTTAATGTTCCAATTGAACCAACATCAAATGTTGACTCACGAACGACAAACAATATTGTCATAAAGAACTATAGTTCAGAGTGTTTGAAAGAAGAACCAGAACTGAAATCCGTGAATTTAAACTCAGCTTCAAACGCTAACGCTACATCAGATGTTAAGTTAGAGTATCCACCACTGGACCAAATTCTTTCAAGAGAAGCCAACGACAACCCTTACACAAATGTTCAAACAAATCCTTCAGATAACGTAGACCATTACCTTCTTCAGTTATACCAAACAATTTTACTCAAAGACGATAAGAAGCTTTTGACAAATCTTATAAGTAAGAACCAAATAATTCTAACAAAGGAGGACCTTGAAAATGTTATCACGAATAACAGGGAAACAATGTGTCATTGACTATCTCGACCCTGAAATCGAATGCTGTGGTCAAACGCCACCATTCATGAAAATAAAGCATCATTGAAACACCAGGAACTACAGGAGTTGAGTTTAAGTATAAATATTCGAACGAGTTATACAAAACTTTCAACAGAATATAAGCTTTGTTTGAAATATGTTTTAGTAAATTAAAGCAATTTGTAATATCTATCCAAAACTTCTTCAACAGTATCGAACTCATTCATAATGCAAACCTAATCTTATTGACTTGGTGCAGTTTTCACTAACACAATATAGCGCTTTGCGCTCGGCGCCTTTGACGCCTTTTTCTGTTCTCTTGACTGACATAACTAACTCATTTGTTTCATCAAACAGCAACAACCAAAGTTCATGACCTAATACATAACATTCATACTTTTATATTTTTAGCTCTGAGTTCTCTTGTAAGCTGTTGCATTTAATATTTTCTAAAAAGTCAACTTCAACAGTCATTCGCACTGGTGCCTTCAGTTCTACAGGCTCTCCTTGAAAGTCAACAAGTCTGAATTGCATGTCTTTCAAATTATGAGGACTAATGCGAACCCATTTACCTAAATGAGTTGCTATGACAGGAACGTTTGGAATGAAACATTGAATTGACTGCATAACAGAAGGATTTATATTCTACTGAACCTTTACTATTAACTCCTGAAATGCCTGTGACATTAGCTATTTTAGACTCAATGTACAAACAATTGCCACATAACATACGTATGGAACAGATTTCATCTCAATCGTTTTGTCAACACTTTTCAAAGGAAATGTCATATGGTATGCACCCAGAAGCAATTGAACTCTATGACTCATTCGTGTTATCTTAAACTCCTTTGCATAACTGAACTTCAAAACTCCTGCAATAAGTTTAACATTCATTAAGTTTTCTTCGTTATCCTTGTTTATTGTAGTATTTATGAGAGCATTTAACACTCCAGCTAATGTTTCCATCTTATATTCTACATTATTGTGAAATCTTATTTCGTGCTTCTTTCCATCTATTTCAAGCTCCATGAAATCTGTTTCATCTGTTATAACGAATGAAGCGATAGTATTGAAGTCAACCATTCTGAATGCAAGCGCCTCATTCTGTAGACCTAAGTTTTGTTTGTAGCTTTACTGTCCCGTATTCGTTTGGGTCTGTACTTTGCAAATAGAACAACATTTTATTCTCATTAAAATATGAGTATAGCTGCATATGCGTATGAAGCTGACAGAGCTAAACGTTTATATTTTGGTCAATACTCTCTCACACTTACTGACAAATATATTGTTATCACTGATGGAAATACCGAGAAATACATAACATGGAAGGACTTATGAAAAGTTTGACCCTATTTTAACTCCATGTACAATGCCATTCATTGTAAATGGTGAAGTTGTCATGAAGAACGACACAACAGTATATAAGTCTGTATATGAAGCATTAGAATATATGTTGAATTATAATCCCGAAAGATTTGACCCAAGCACTACACCATGTGCAATGCCTTTTATTAAGGACGGTGAAATCGTAAGAGTTTCGATTCAACGGTTTACACAGCTGTTCAAAACAGTTTACAAAACATTTTAGCGAATATCTTTAATTCAGAAACTACAGAAATAAAATTACCATATATAACAGATGCTAAAGAAATTAAATCAAAAAACGACAACATTATTTACGTCACTTAATGATTTAATGACTTATATCATTAATATTCCTGCACCAACTACAGCATTTGATCCAAACTCGACGGTTTGCAGTGTACCTTTCATAAAGTCGCAAACGGACTCTTTGAGTCCTGAAGGTCTTTCAGACCGAAGCGACCAGGCGAAGCCCATGACAGTTCATTATTACTTAAGGGATTCAACAGTTTAATGAATCATTAAAGGCGTCATTAATGAAATCATTGATTTTAACTCATTCACGAATACATATAATTCATTCATTAATGTTTCATATGCTTCTAAAGAAGGTGAGCCAAAAACTATCGATAAAGCGGTGTATGAAATAAAAGCATCAACGACGAAATTGAATTCGTTAACTTTTTGACGGTGATAGTTTCGTTAATGACATAACATCGGGGAAAACAATTTTAACGAAAGAATATTTAAAATCTCATGTTAGTGAGTTCGTTGAAATTGAAAAAGAAGGTGGAATTAAGTTCGATCCACTGAATTTCATTTTCAACTTAGCTAATGCGGGCATTAGTTTCGCTGAATGGACAACTATACAGAGTGAAATAAATGCAATATGGACGTTTTTGGGGTCAAAAGCGGGAATGGGTGAGCTTGTAAATGCTGCAAGAACATTAGGTGAAACAGGAAATTTTGTAGATGGTTTTAAAAGACTTGTTTCAAATGTTTTAACAAACACAAAGAAATTATTTAGATATACCATACATAACGGACGGATTTTCGAACAGGTAGCAACAAACCCTCCGGTTATGGCTGCGTTGATGATGGTTAGAGATATAAAACCACGTAACGACGGGAACGAAGAACATGAACAACAGAGCCCAACGGGCTCAGAGCCACATAGTGGCGAGGATACTGGTCGGGTTATTCAAGACATTAAAAACGTGTATCCTGAAGTTATTGATTTATTTAGAGGAGTTAATGATTCAATTTCAAAACATTCTATAACCCTCGATGAAGAGAATAAATTAACAGATTATATATTCGTCATTATTGCAGAATTAATGAAGAGAATAAATGAAAAAGGAATTGGTGATATCATTAATGTCAGCGATGTAATGATGAAAAGAAATTTTGACTCATTATTTACAAAACCGAAAACAGAATATAGTCTTTATGACGTAATTACCGAATTAATGAAAAAGATTAATGATAATAAGAGTTCTGGCGGAAGAGTTGAATTAGAAGTGAATGATGTTAATGAGAAATTAGCCGAAAAAGCAGATAAAAACCACGTTCATTATATAACTTCAGACGAACAGATTATAACGGACTACCATGGATATTTAACACGAAGTGATGAAGCGAAGACAAAAAATGTTAATGAAAGAAGATATAAATACATTCGTGCTAAAGGTTATGACATAAGCTGTACTGTACAGTATGACACAGGTAAAGCACCAGAAGCATTTAGTTATAACGATGAAATTTATGCCTCTACTTTCTCTGTTAATGGTGTATTAGTTGAACCAAGATTTATGTTAAGAGTTAAGTCAAAAATAACGTTTGAAGATGCTATTAAAAGTAAAGCTGACAAAGTTGAACTCGAAGCAATGAACAAAGTTTTGAAATCTCATAAACACAACATCTCCGATATAAATGAACTTCAAACTTCTTTAGACAGTAAAGCAGACAAGAACCATACACATAAATCCTTCACTACTGTTAGAGCAGACGACATAATATTGAACTTTGACCTTGGTTCAAGTGCACCATTAGAAAATCCAAGTACAAGCGTAAAAGATACTCTTAACAGTTTAGATAACAGTTGCAGGAACATTGAAAGTCATGCCAGAAACTTTGAAGCATATGAACTACCAGCAATGTTAGATAAGAAAGCAGATAAGAACCATACACATAAATCCTTCACAACTGTTGCTATAGAAAGTATTGAAGGAACGGTTGGCGGAACTGGTGGGGATGCATTATATTGTAAACCTCCTAACTTTCCACAAGGTTTAACATCGGATGACGACATAACGACGATGAGAAACATTAGATGTAAAGATGTTTATGTCATGAAGGATGAACATAATATTAAATTCACTGCTCAAGATTTATATGACAAGAAAGCTGACAAGAACCATACACATAAATCCTTCACTACTGTTAGAGCAGACGACATAATATTGAACTTTGACCTTGGTTCAAGTGCACCATTAGAAAATCCAAGTACAAGCGTAAAAGATACACTAAACTCCTTAAATAACAAATGTATGAATATCGAAGGTCATGTCAGAAACTTTGAAGCACATGAACTACCAGCAATGTTAGACAGTAAAGCCGACAAAACTTATGTGGATACAGAACTAACAAAGAAATTTTCGAAACCAGATACAATGACATTTACAACAGAAATTATAAATGGTGAACCAGCAACTCCATTTGAATTTGTTAGAGGTCTTCAACCGGATACTTTTGAATTTTTCTTGGATAATTCTATTGAACTAACATTACATTATAAAAGTGGAACAAATGCAACATTTCATCCGGGAGATACATTCCAAATGGTATTTAATGACATAAGTTCTTTAGAATATGTTTATAGAGTTATGAGCATATATGATTTAATATATCCTATAGGAGCTGTTTATACGTCTATGAATCCAATAAATCCAAACACTTTATTTGGTGGTAGATGGTATGAAATAGTTGACAGTTTTCCATTCTACACTAATACGCAGTCAATGAAGATGGGAGGTTCAAAGAAAATAGGTATTGAAAACCTTCCTTCACATATGCATAGGTTCAGTGGAAGAACATCTGTGGAAGGAAACCATTCACATTCAATAACAAAAGAGGTTATACAAATCTTGCAGCGGGTTCGGATAGACAGGGAATGCATAGATATGATATCACAACTGACCCCAAAGATGTTAGCACAGGTATTTTCTGTGGAACTGCAGGAAATCATACACATGTTGTAGCTGGTATTACAGACCCAGCAGGTAATGGAAAAGATTATATGCCTCCTTATATAACAATGCACGCTTGGATACGAGTTGGTTAAAATCTTTAACTTTACATAAATGAGCTTGAAAGAAGTATTCGAACAACATCCATGGAGGTCATTTAAGAAATTCAATGAAGCTGCAAAGAGTTCGGGATTTACTAACAGAGCTGAAGTGAAAAGGTTCTTTGACAAAAATGTTGTACATCAAACAAAAATAAATCCTTACGACTACTTTTTACCAATTTACTCCAACACTCCTGACGCATACCAATTTGACACTCTCATTCAAAGCAGAAAATGTGGTCATAAACCATTCCTCATCTTCATAAATGTTAACACTCGTAAAGCATATGCGTATATAATGAGAAATAAAGGAACTCATGAAGTGTTAAGAGTTTTACAAAAGTTTGTAGCAGAACATAACCCAAGTATTTTAACATCAGACCAAGACGGTGCATACCTCAGCAACGAAATCACAGAATTTCTCATTAAGCATAACATAACTCACTACACTACTGAAGACCATAACCATAACATACTCGGTATCATTAACCGCTTCATAAGGACTCTCAGAGATTTAAATCAAGAGCGAGACTTTACCGAAGAAACAATGAAACATTTTCTCGAAGTATATAATTCCTCAACACATTCTACAACAGGACATACACCAAATTCAATGACACAACAACAAGAAGAAAAGTATATACAAAAGAAACGAAGCCAAACACAAAATATCAGAAATTCAACACAATTTACTCTCATTCCTGGTACAAAAGTTCGTGTAGTTCTTGACGACAAACCATTGACAAAGAAACGTTTAAGGTTAAGTCGAAATTATTATATCGTAGACTCTACGCAAGGTAATGGATATCTTATAAAAGCTGCTGACGACTCCATAGCATTTTACCCTCGACATAAATTAGTCGAAAGTAGTAATGGCAAACTTGCTGAAACCATTGACGAAGCAAAGCGAGGAGTGGTTATTGAAATACTTGACTATAACACAAACGATGACACTTATAAAGTAAGATATGAAGGAGGCGTTGAAGATGTTATACCATCTAAGAACTTGAGAGAATCTAAACCAACTCATCTGGGACCATTAGAGCGGGAGTACTGGAAAGATAAAAACATGCCAGAAAGAATAAGAAAATTCTTCTAAACTTTTTCGTTGGATGTAAATCAGACATGAATGAGAACAGTCATGATATCATTAATGGTACCATTTATTTTTGTCATAAATTTACACCAAAAATATAATTTAGGTGAAGAGGTGAGATTTCACCTCTTTTCTCACCTCTTTTTTCACCTCTTGAATTTTCGTGAATTTTCACAAAAGACCAAAAATAAAGTTAGTTTTATTTTTATTTATTTTTTTATTTTGTATGTAAGAACAGAAATGTCAGTCGAAGCAAAAACATTCACGAACAAATCAAATGGCGAAACATTCACAAAAGGCACTTATAATGGTATTGAAGTCTTACGTAGAGACAAGGATAGTTACATTAATGCAACAAAGATGGCAAGAGAAGCGGGAAGGTTAAACCATTTAAACAGATTTCTCAATAGTACTAAAATGCAGGAAATTCTTGAGTTTTGGATGAACGAATACGGTGGAGCCAAAAGTGGCTCGACCTCAAAACAAGCATTTTATGAGCTTACTAAGGGTGTTATAAATGAATTCAAAGGTATTTACATACATCCTGACCTCGTTCATTTTGTTGCTGAATGGTGCTCTGTAAAGTATGCATTTTATGTCAAAGATATTATGGACTCCATAGACAAGAAAGTTCATGAGAAATTAGATGAAGAAGAACTCGAAGATACAGTGGAGAATGCTAAACCTTTGTTTGAAGAAGAAGTTGGAAAAATGTGTGAAAACAATTAGAACATGAACGTGAGATATATTATGGTTATAGAGATTCTCCATACGAACTAGACCAATGGGAACAAGAAGATTTAAAGAGAGAATTTAGAGAATATGAACTCGCTAAGATAGCATTTGAAGCTGCAGAAAAGAAGTTAAAAGTTTGGGGTCGTTTTGTACAAAAATATTGTGAGTAAATGATTTAGGTCATTCAATAATTAATTATTTTTGAAGAACTGAAGGTGCTACCATGTTACCATGTGCTACCAGGTCAATGAACTTCTCTGAAAAAATGAGACAACATGACATTTTGACAACAACACAGGAGGAAGGCATTTTATCGTATATGTTTTGTCATGATTTCTTCGTATATGTTTTGTCATGATTTCTTCGTATATGTTTTGTCATGACTTCTTCGTATATGTTTTGTCAAGACTTCTTCATCATAATGAGTGTAAATGACCCAAAATATATTTTAGGGTAGAAGGGTAGATCTAACCTCATTTCTAACCTCATTTCTACCCTCATGAATTTTCATGATTTCATCGTTAATGTTTTGTCAAGACTTCATCATAATGAGCATAAACGACCAAAAATATATTTTATCGTTAATGTTTTCAGGTTATTCAATAATTAATTATTTTTGAAGAACTGAAGGTGCTACCATGTTACCATGTGCTACCAGGTCAATGAACTTCTCTGAAAAAATGAGACAACATGACATTTTGACAACATCACAGGAGGAAGGCAGTTATGACTTATTTTTGAAGAACTGAAGGTGCTACCATGTTACCATGTGCTACCAGGTCATTTAACTTCTCTGAAAAAATGAGACAACATGACATTTAGACAACAGTCCTGGAAATTTGATGCAGTCCAAAAATAAAGTTAGTTTTAAAATTATTTTTATTTTTTTATTCCTATATAAATGACAGCAACAAACAGCAACAACAGCAACTTTATCGTTTCTGATGAACAAGTTATTGATTCATTAGCTGAGGAATTAGTTGTGGCAGAAACTAAAACCCTCAACGAAAGAATTGGTGAAAACAAGATTGATTTACATAACTACCTCAAACATGATGGAGGAAGAGGAAGGAAAACTGGTATGGCTTTATTAGTAAATAAAATTTCAAATTTAACGATTATAGATGTTGATATCAATAAATCGTACAATGATGAACTTAAAGAAACAGTTAGAAAAGATATTTTATCAAAACTTTCGGATAAAGATGTTATCGTTAAAACCGCTTCAGGAGGTCTTCACATTTATTGCAACACTAATTTCTTCTATTCAGTTTCGAACAGAATGATTAAATGTTATTCCTGCAATGATTATGATATTGATATCATGACTTCTATGGATGATTCAAAGCGTTCTTTAGTGGTTATGGCTGATTCAAGAGTTCGCAAGAATGCATCAGAACCAATCAATACATACTCATTCATTCGTGGAAGTTATGATTCAACATTAACTAGAACAGTGAATGATATATTAAATGATTTGAATATTAAGGTAAGAGTTGAACAGAAGAACGAAGAAATAAAGACTATTATGAATGAAACAAAGATGTAAACATTGACGATAAACTTGCCCAGAGCATAGTTGATGGCATCAGTGATTTTGAAGTACATAATGACGGTGGAAACATGAATTTGGAAAAAGAAGTTACATTATTCACACTGTTTCAAGCAATTAATTCGTTACCGGATCATTTAATTAATGAAGCATACGATAACGTTTATAACTTCTGCAATTTAACTGAAAATGCAAAAAGTAATTTTGAAAAAGCACGTAGTAGATATGCACATTTAATGACTTCTCCATTTGTTTTAGTGAAGATTCTAAAACTTTATCAAAAGGAATATTATGATGAATATGTTTTACCTTTATTACGTAAGCCAAAAATAACATTTGATATCAAACTTGATGATTCATTCTTGATAACAGATATTAGACGCAAGGCTGAAAATCATCAGTATAAAAACAGTTCTGAAGTAATTGAGGATTTATCACGTGTAATCCGTTTTGTAGATTATGGAAACAAATACTTCATTCAAAAGGACTATAATATCCACGACAAAATGAATCAAATATCATTCGTTCTTCAATCAAACATGAAAGAGTCACTTAAAATGATTAAATTATTTAAAGAAGAAGGTAAAACAATAACAGCATGGGATGTACTACTAAATCAATTGTCTTCATTAACTGTTAAGGGTGTTTGCTTTAAATCTGATTCTCCAGATGTTTTCTCAACGTTTCAGGGTTATAAATACAACATTCTCGAAAAAGTAGATTACTCAAAAATTGAGATGTTTATGAATTTCATTAAAGAAGCCATTTGTGATAATAACGATGAAGTGTATAAATACCTTCTCGGCTGGATTGCATCAATGATTCAACATCCCGGAATCAAGAATGAAACAGCAATTATTTTGAAAGGACTTCAGGGAACAGGTAAAAACAGATTTACAGACATTATTTCTGAACTCCTCGCTGGTTATTCATGTAAAAACATTACTGAAATAGGTGAGCTAACGGGTAATTTCAATTCAGTAGTTGAGAATAAAATGTTTCTTGTACTTAATGAACTCAAGAATGTGGGTGAAGACAGACTCGCAAACTTCAATGCTTTGAAATCAATTATTACGGATAATGAGATTAGAATTAATGAAAAGAATCAACCCAGAAGAACTGCTCAGAACGTTGCAAACTTCATTTTCGTAACTAATAACGTCTACCCTGTCAAAATTGAAGTTGGAGACAGAAGATACGTAGTTTTAAGAGTTAATGGTAAATTCAAGGGTCAATTTGATTACTTCAAGAATTTAATGGATTCATGCACAAAGGAATTTTATGATAACCTTTTAACATATTTTATGCAATATGACCTTTCATCATTTAATGTACGAATCATTCCGATGACTGAAGCCAAACAAGATTTAATCAAGTTATCAGCAAATCCTTTAGATGAATGGATAAATACACATTATGATGAATTGTGTACAGGTATGACGTGTGAAAATGCGCTATTCTGCAAACCATCAGACATGAAAGACAAGAATTTCCAAATGAGTATTAAGGATAAATGTGATAGGAAACATAGAAGAATAGATGGTAAACAAACATGGTGTTATGTTTTGAAAGAAGAAATGAAAGGATTATATAAACAGGTTGAACCAAACGATAATGAGGATTCATTTACTGACGATGAAATACCTGTAAATGATGCTTTATAAAGTATGATTGGAATTTATTTTTGCCTTCCTCCTGTGTTGTTGTCTAAATGTCATGTTGTCTCATTTTTTCAGAGAAGTTAAATGACCTGGTAGCACATGGTAACATGGTAGCACCTTCAGTTATTCAAAAATAAGTCATAACTGCCTTCCTCCTGTGATGTTGTCAAAATGTCATGGTAACATGGTAGCACCTTCAGTTCTTCAAAAATAAGTCATGAATACCTTCCTCCTGTGATGTTGTCAAAATGTCATGTTGTCTCATTTTTTCAGAGAAGTTCATTGACCTGGTAGCACATGGTAACATGGTAGCACCTTCAGTTATTCAAAAATAAGTCATAACTGCCTTCCTCCTGTGATGTTGTCAAAATGTCATGGTAACATGGTAGCACCTTCAGTTCTTCAAAAATAAGTCATGAATACCTTCCTCCTGTGTTGTTGTCATCATTTTTTAAAGAAGTTAATTAACCTGGTGACATGGTGACGTAGTGACACCTTCAGTTATTCAAAAATATATTTTTGCTTAAATAACTTCAGGGTCTATTTCTTCAACCATTTCACTTCCTTCGTCAATGTCAATAGAAGCTTCTTCAACCTTTGGTAAGAATTTCTGTATAACATCTTTGTTCGTTATTGTCTTCAGAGATGAAGGATAATATTTCACAGATGTTTCACCCTTCTTATATTCTTTCTGTTCGGAAAGATTCATAGCAATACTGAAGAAGTCAACGTTAGAGTTCTTTATAATAGTATAGTGTGTATCTTTGACATTCACGAAGAAAACTCTTTTGTTTCAAAACTACTGCTAACTCTTGTGAAGTATAACGTTTGCGGTCAATGACGATAGCTAATGGTCTGACATACTGACCAAACTTAGATTCTTTCACAAACTTCTTGTTAAAGATAATTAACATTTGAAGCATTATTGAACTCATTCTTGATGGCAGTAAGCGAGAGCATTGTATGAAAAGAACTTGCAATCTTGCATGTGTTTCATTAAATAAAATATTAATTATTTTGAAAAATAACTTAAAAAAAATCTAATCTAATTTTTTTCAAAAAAATATTTTTTTATTTCCTACTAAAGATGTATCGGAAGTTGTCTAAGTTAGAACACTCGGAAATAAAACAACTTCTTACAGAAGCTAATATAGATGTTGCAAAGCATTACGCAACAAACAAAAAAGCACTCGCTGACTTCATTAAAGACTATAATGGTGCAATAAGTTATGATAGAATTCATGAGTTCATAAAGCCGCAACGCGGCGAGGACGAAGTCCATGCAAGAGCATTTCCTTTAAATGACATTGCTATTGACTTATATCATAGACGTTCAGTACCTCATGAAGTAAGAAGAGAAATATTTGACATAACAAATGCAAACGTTGGTGAAACAAGAAGAAGAGACGACACACTGAAACAACAGAGAAGAGAGATGTTTAAAAGTGCTATAGAACAAGTTCGCAAAGCTAACGATGTCATTCGTTCCATTGACGACAAACCAAAAGAAGGTGAGAGATGGTTAAAGAAAGATGAAGAGAATAGGAAGAGGAAATGTGAAGTCAGGCAATAGACTCATTGACTTTAACATCGAAGCTTTAGATGAACCAAACAGAGACTACTTACACAAACATTTCGGTAAGGTTTTCATGAGACTCTTAGAGAAAATTAAAATAAACTCGCAACAGAGATGGATGGTATGTTATAAACTTGGTGGAAAGTATGAATGTTCTACGTTAAACCTCAATAATATTGGAACATTACTACATCAGCTCTTGAAGGAGAACTTTATATCAGAGATAGAAGCAAATGCTGCAGGTATTGTTGAAATGCACTATGACTTCTTCTTGACAAACATAAAGAATCTTACCGAAATAAAGATGTATGATTTAACAGAATATGAAGGCTTAACGATGTCAGATGTAAAGAAAGGCAAACCAAAAAAGAGACCATATAGAGATGAAAGCACACTGACAAATGACCAGAAAGCCATTTTGGAAGCTCTTAAGCAAACAGGAAACCCAGCACTTATAGAAAGCTTTTGGAAAGATAATGGTGAAAAGAAGTTTTATAAGAAGAGAAGCGGTCAGTTCTGGAAGTATCTTTGCACATTACCTATAAATCTTGAACGCTACCAAATCTTCAATGAACTGAACAAAAGAACTGCAACACTTATGACAGAGGACAATTGTTTCGTTTATGCTTGCATTCAGGCTGGAGTAAATGAAGAAACTATTGACCACATGAGAGAAGTCATTCGTGTTAGAGACTTTCCTCAAAGTAAAGTACAAGAAATTTCCGATTCAACAGGTATAGCATTTAATGTTACCATTGGTTATTTCAATGACTCAAGACATAATGAAATAAAGAGATATATACCAAAAGAATGCGAAACTGTTAGAACTATTGACTTACTTCTTGTTGAAGACCACTACATGCTAAATGAAAGATTACCAATGACAACATACTTCATTCGAAACTATATAGAAATCTTGAAGGAGTGTGGTGGAATGAACATTGAGAAACAGATGAAGATTTATACAAAGAGAGAAGATAAATATGTAGTTCGTTATGATAGAACAACACCGCTATGGGATGTTATGAAAACATTGTGGGAGTGCAAATATTTCGAACCTATTTCTTATGGAGAACTTTTCACATATACTACTGACTTATATAAACAGAACCTTGCACCATTTAAAGATTTGACATATGCTCCAAAGTATTGTGTACAACTGAAGAAGAAAGCAGAGTCAAAAGAAGTAAATAAAGCTAAATGTAAATTCATTCCTGAGCACGTTTTCTTTGCTGACTTTGAGTGTAGCACAGACGGCTTTCATAAAGCTTTTAACATCTGTTATGACAGTGAAGATGGTTCAGTGAGTGAAAGCATTTGGGGTCAAAACTGTGCAACAGAATTTTTGGAAAGACTTCCTGACAAGAGTTTAATATATTTCCACAACCTCAGTTATGACATAAACTTCATCTTAAGACACATGACAGAAGTGAAAGGAACTCCCATCATTAAAGGTTCACGAACAATGCAAATAACTGGTTTATATAAAGGACGGGCAATTATTATAAAAGACTCTTACAGTGTTATAAATAAGAAGCTTAAACTATTTCCTGCTATGTTTAACTTACAAACAGGACCGAAAGAAGTATTTCCATATAACTACTACAGCAGTGTTTTGTTAGCAAATGACAACAGAACTGGTGTCATTTCTGAAGCATGTAAGTTTATCCATGATGCAGATACATTCATGAAAACATAGATTCCATCAAAGGTTGCAGAATAGATGAAAACCACTTCGACTTAGAAAAATATAGCACGTTTTACTGCAAACAAGATGTAAGAATTTTAAGAGAAGGTTTTGTAAAGTTCCGCAATGACTTATTGAAAGAGTTTGATTTAAACGTTTATGACTACGTTAGTATTTGTTCTATTGCTAACAAATTGTTTGAGAACAGAGTATACTTCCCGAATGGAAATCTTTATGACCTCTCAAATAAACCAAGAGAATTTATTTCGAGATGCATTCAAGGTGGAAGATGTATGTTGTCAGATAACATGAAACAAAAGAGCAAAAAGAAACTCATTGCTGACTTCGACACTGTTTCATTATATCCTTCAGCTATAGCAAGACTTTATACTTTAGAAGGTATTCCAAAAGTATTGAAGGAAGAAATGTTAAGCACAGAGTATCTCATGAGACATTTATTCGATGATGACCAAAAGGAACCCATTGGTGAAAAGTTTATGTCTGGCTTCTTTGTTCTCATTAAGATAACAGAGATTGGTATACCCAGACACTTTCATTTAATAGTTTGCGACCCTGAACTAAATCCAGAACTTAACGTTCCAAGAAGTTCAAACACTTGCTGTCTCATGTATGTTGACCATATAACATTACAAGACCTCATAAAATATCAAGTGTCAAATGTGAAGTGTTGCAAGGATACTATTACGATGGAAACAGAGATATGAGAATAAGAGATGAAGTAAAGAAGTTGTTTGAGTTAAGGTTAAAGTATAAGAAAGAAGGAAACCCCTTACAAGAAATTATAAAACTCATTCTGAACAGCATTTATGGCAAAACTATTCTATCTCCTATTGAGTCAAAAATAACCATAGTAAATGACAAAGATGCTATAAGATATGCTATAAGAAATTACAACCATATAGTGAAGTTCGAAGGTTTGGATGGTTCAGATAAAACTATTTTCAAGCTAACGAAAAGCATTTGCAGACACTTTAACTTCTGTCCACTTGGTGTTAATATTCTGTCTATGTCAAAACGTATTATGAATGAAGTATTCTGTACTGCAGAGGACATGGGACTTCAAATCTTTTACCAGGATACCGACAGTGCACTTATATAATGAAGACATCCAAAGCTTGCAGCAGAGTTTAAGAAGAGATATGGTCGCGAACTTATAGGAAAGAACCTTGGTCAATTTCATAGCGACTTTGCAGAAATAACACCTGGAAAACAAAGTTTAGCTTATAAAAGTATTTTCTGTGGAAAGAAGACCTACATAGACTTACTCACTAACGATTTAAATGAAGTTGCATTTCACTGCAGAATGAAAGGCGTGAAGCAAGATGTTATTGCTTTAACCGCTAATGAAATGTTTCCTGAAGCTATACAATGCTATTACAATGAAGATAAGAACATTCACATACCTGTTGGAACATATGACAAAGACTCTGAGTTCAGTTTAATGAAACTTTACAAAGCACTTTATGATGGTCAAGAGATTGCATTCGACTTATGTAAGTCATGTCAACCTTGCTTTGCTGAAAAGTTCAACTTTTCAATAACGACTAAAACAAGCTTTATTCGTAAGTTGAAGTTCTGAGGTCATGGGCTTCGCCCTTGCCGCTAGCGGCTTATTTTTGTCAGCAATGAGGTCATGAATGAGGTCATGGGCTTCGCCCTTGCCGCTAGCGGCTTATTTTTGTCAGCAATGAGGTCATTCGTGATAAAAATAAAGCTAGCGTAGATTTTACAATACTGCGATGGTAGAGTTTAAGAGTTGTGCTTCAATGTAGAGACAGTCCTTCCCATCTGGAGGCAAGAACACTGGACATTTATGGTCATGAGTGGAGAACATGTCTATCCAAAACTCACGATTGAAGCCAGTTAATTTATAGTATTTAGGGTTAGGAAGTGGTGAAGTTCTTGTATGACCAATGAACTCATTTTCAACGCCTTTGGCTATATTAGAGTAAAGTATTGCTTGCTTTCTATCCAAATGCCAGGTGTTACAATCTTTGAAAATTCATTTTTCCTCGGAAGCATTGCATCATAATTGAAAACATTCTTAAAATCATCACTTGGTTCGGAGATTTGAAATCTTATACGTAATGGATTTTCTTTCTTTTTAGCGACTTCATTGAATGGTGAGAATACAATGAATTGACAGTCATGTGTTCCATCTTCATTTTCATTAAATTCATAATGAAAGTCTATAAGTTGTGGCTGACTACCTTCTTCCTTCAGTTGTGCAAGAAACTCACGTAAAGGCTGTAAAGTTTGTACTTCAATGTTGAACTTTTTCTCGAACATCTCATTAAATGAAATCATACATTGCAACAATGTTGTATCGTCTTTAAAGTATTTGTATATGTGAATGTTTTGGGCGCTTAAAGACTGTTCGTCATTTTCTATCTCGACTTGAAGTATAAAGTCAACCTTTCTGAAAGCACGTGTTATATACATAGATGTTATGCCAATGTACTTCTCTTCATTTATGTTCACAATCCAGTCTGTTGGAAACTTAAACGTTACTCTGTTCCCCTTTATTTTGACGTCAGGGTTTTCACTACTGAACGCAACAGATAAAGGTATTTGTCTATACATTTAGTTTGGATAAAAATAAACCATTTACTCTTTCTTTGCTTCAGCTTCCTTTGCTTTTTGTTCTTCCTTTGCTTTTGCTTCTTCTCTAGCTTTTTTGCCAGCAAACGTGGGTTCTTCTGTCTTCCAGCAGCTAATGCAGCTAGTTGTTTTTCACTAAGTTTTCTCTTTGGTCTCTCTGGCTTTTGTTCTTGTTTTTGTTCCTTCAGTTCGGATAAAATTTGCTCGCGAATTTCTTTCTTCAATGCTTCAACATCTATGACCCCTTGGGTCTTGTCCATATGACTTGTCTGAGTCATTTGACTGTAGATAAAAAACTAACTTAAAACTTTAACCGATGTAAAATGAGCTTGTCAAAATCAGAGCGAGAGTCTATTATATTAAATGACGCAAGAGGAATACAACATCCTTTCTATTACGTAAGTCAGAGTAAAGATGGTAAAATATACGTAAGAAAAAGAAAGGTACCATTAGCGAATGCAGAGAGCGACAACATTAAGGTGCATGGCAAGGGTGAAGTCCACGAAGCCCATATAAAACCTTCTGTTCAAACTGAGCCACCAAAAGAACAAGAAGAAAAGAAGCCAGATGTACTTTCAATAACGAACCAAGAGCTTATTGCAAAGTTCGTGAATTTCATTGAAAAACAAACCGAGTCAAAG